AAGTAAGGTTCTTGTTTGCTTTCTTCACTGCTGTATTATATTCCCAGTTCTTAGTGCTTGCCTGGCACACGGTGGGCACTTAATTAAAGCTTGCTGAAAGAAGAGAGGAATGGGAAAGGAAGGAAAAGAACACATTAAAAATAAAGAATTCCCAGGACGCCTGGGTGGCTCAGTCAGTTAAGTGTCCGACTTCAGCTCAGGTCATGATCTCATGGTTCGTGAGTTCAAGCCCCACGTCGGGCTGTGTGCTGACAGCTCAGAGCCTGGAGCCTGCTTCGGATTCTGTGTCTCCCTCTCTCTGTGCCCCTCCCCTGCTCACGGTCTGTCTCTCTCTGTCTCTCAATAATAAATAAATGTTAAAAAAAATTTTTTTTAAATAAGGAATTCCCTGCTTTACTTTTTTTAAGTCTATTTATTTGAGAAAGCATAAGTGGGGGAGGAGCAGAGAACAAGAGAGGGAGAGAGAGAGAGTCCCAAGCAGGCTCTGCTCTGTCAGCACAGAGCCTGACGAGGGGCTCAAACTCATGAAACCATGAGATCATGACCTGGGCCGAAACCAAGAGTCAGATGCTTAACCAACTGAGCCACCCAGGCGCTCCAGGAATTTCCTGCTTTAAAAAGTTCTATATAGGGGTGCCTGGGTGGCTCAGTCGGTTGGGCTGCCGACTTCGGCTCAGGTCATGATATCGCGGTCAGTGAGTTCAGGCCCCGCGTCCGGCTCTGTGCTGACGGCTCGGAGCCTGGAGCCTGTTTCAGATTCTGTGTCTCCCTCTCTCTGACCCTCCCCCGTTCATGCTCTGTCTCTCTCTGTCTCAAAAATAAATAAATGTTAAAAAAAAAAATTTTTTTTTAAAGTTCTATACTGAAGTATTAAGAGCAGATGCATGAAAGTAGGAGGGAGAAAGAACATTTTATGGAACTAAACCATTGCAGCTTCTTGGTGCCTTCCTGATTGCGCAGCAAACACTGAAACCCAGTATGAGGGCTTCACCATTTTAAACTTTTGGCAGCTGCCTCATTTCTTCCCTTTGTCCTCATGTGTTTCATCCTCCTAACTCTTCCTCGAAGATCAGAGGGCAGCATTTCCAGATGTACCACGTTCCTTTCGTTAGTATTGTATCCTCAGAATCCAAGTCCATGGTACTTGATAGGATCTAGGTGCAGGAACTGGGCCTCTCATAGATTGAGAGAGATTATCAGGACACAAATGCAAACTGGTTATTAGCTTAGCCCATGTTTTAAGCATTCAATAACAGATCTGAAGAGCTGCTGTAAATAAAGTGATCTGTGCCCTGAAGAAAAATAAAGCAGAATAAGGAGATGGAGCGTGATCAAAGGAAGGGGAGGTTAGGTAGGGTGTGCATTCTGGGGGAAGTAGCCCATGAACCAGGACCCAAAAGGGAAGGAGCAAGTCACGTGAAGTTGTGGAGGAAGAGCATCCCAGACAGATTTGAGGTATTAACCAGCTTATGCTAACTTCCCCTCTGTTATCCCCTGCCGTTAATCAGTGTGTCCCTTTTCCACACCAGACCGTAATTCTACCATTGATTATAAGGCCCAGCCCAGGGCCTTCTATACTATTGTGCAGATTATATACTGCACACCTCTAGGGGGCACCACTCACATGTGTTATTGCAGGTTTGAATGTTTCTTATGCCAGTTTTCCAGCAGATGGCAGTAATGTTCATGAGGACAGGGTGGCTTTTGTTCATCTAGGTTTGCATATAGGCTAGTGTCATTACCCCTCTTTCCTTCTGTGATGCATCCAGGTCTTTTTCTCTCTGGGCTCCAGTCTTATCCTGTAAGCTTTTCTTTCTTTTTTCTCTTTCTTTCAAACATTTGAAACTTAAAAAAAAATATTTTTTAACGTTTATTTATTTTTGAGACAGAGAGAGACAGACCATGAACAGGGGAGGGTCAGAGAGAGAGGGAGACACAGAAACCGAAGCAGGCTCCAGGCTCTGAGCTGTCAGCACAGAGCCCGACGCGGGGCTCGAACTCATGGACCACGAGATCATGGCCTGAGCCGAAGTTGGACCCTTAACCGTCTGAGCCACCCAAGCACCCCTCAAACATTTCAAACTTAAAGAAATGCACGTATAGTACAAAAAACTCCCATATAACCTGCGCTCTAGTTTACCAATTGTTAACATTTGCCTACTTTTACTTTATCACTGCGCCCCTCTCTCCATAGGAGAGCTGGTTGCAAACATCCTGCCCCTTTACACCCTGACTTTGGAATTGGGGGGGGGGGGGTTTGGTTGTTTTTATTTTTGTTTTTTTGAGCAAGAATTTTGTTTATACATAGCCGCAGTACACTTACCAAATTTAGGAAATTTAACACTGATACAATACAGTTAACCCTTGAACCTCACAGTTAACGGGCTCTGACCTCCATGTAGTTAAAAATTCACATATAACTTTTGACTCTCCAAAAACTTAGCTACTAATAGCATACTATTGACTGGAAGCCTTACCAATAACGTAAATAGTTAACACATATTTTTTATGTTATGTATATTATATATTGTATTCTCACAATAAAGTGAGCCAGAGAAAAGAAAATGTTATTAAAGTCAAAAGGAAGAAAAAATACATTTACAAGTACTATAATGTATTGGGAAAAAAAATCCACATGTAAGTGACCCATGCAGCTAAAACATGTGTTGTTCAAGGGTCCTCTGTACTTTTATCAGTTACGTAATCCGCAGTCAAATTTTGTCTGTTGTCCCAGAGGTGTCCTTTATAGCTATTTTTACCCCTTTATCCAGCATTCAGTCTTTGATCACATTTGGATTTATGCTTTGAAACCGCCTCACTGTATTTTTTGTTATTTTTTATTGAAGTACAATTAGCACACAATGTTACATTAATTTCAGGTGTACAATATGATCCAGCAGTTCTGTACATTACTCAGTACTCATCACAATAAGTGTACTCTTAATCCCCTTCACCTGTTTCACCCATCCGCCTCACCCCCTCCCCTCTGACAACCACCAGTTTGTTTTCTGTATTTAAGAGTCTGCTTTTTGTTTGTCTCTTTTTTCTTTGTTCATTTCTTTTGTTTATTAAATTCCACATATGAGCGAAATCACATGGTATTTCCCTTTTATGTCTGACTTACTTCACTTAGTGTATCCTGTAAATCCATCCATGTTGTTGTAAAATCCTCAATCTTAGTTTGCTGTTTTCTTACTAGATTGAGGTTCTGTGTTTTTGGCAAGAGTATCGTCGAAGTGATGTTGTGTCCTCCGTGCATTACACCACGAGGCACATGGCCTGTTTGTTCCATTCCTAAGCATTCTATGTTGAAACCGTACTTGTGGTCTTAGGAACTGTGACATATATGTACTTGGATGCTGACTGTAGGAATCCAGCTTAGCATTTGCTCTCCTAAGAAGGTAGCACTCTGTTCAGCTTTCCTGTCCAATCAAGTGAGCCTGACTTGCCTCCCAAGTCTTCCTTTGCAATGTCATTACCTGGGACTCTAAGCTTCCCATCAGGAGTCATAATACCTCTTATTTCTCCTAGTGTCCCATCCCTCGGCTGGAATCTCTGAACCAGTGATTACTTCTTCTGTACAATCAGCAAATCTTTAGTGTGAACGTTACAAGTTAGGTTCCTTTGGCTCTGGCAAGGTTAGGCTTCAGAGGAGAGTATTGTGTTTGAAGATGGGGAAGAACTAGGTACCAGGGGGCCCACTTGAACAGATTCAAGTTCATTTTACCCTCAATCACAGTCTTCCAGGCCTACCGTATTTTGCTTGTAGTTAAAATTTGAGTGTTTATTGTATGTCATTTACAGTGCTAAGTATTCTGCTGCATTAGCCTTATATAGTCCTTAAAACAACTCTAAGAACTAGATCCTACTTTCTTTATTTTACCAAAGAAAAAATAAAGGTTTAGAAAGGTCAGTTAAGACAATACAACTAAAAATTACCAGGACTCTAAACTCCTGTTTCCAATTCCAAAGCCCTTACTGTTCTTTATAAACAGAAGAATCCTACACTAGGGCCATTAATGTTGAAATTAACCTTCACAGATTGAAATTCAAATGTAGTGTCATTGCTAGATAGGAGATAATTGCTAGCAACTTTAACACACATATTTTGAGGTGTCTGTAAATAGAAGAACTTAGATTTTTCCAATTTGCATGTCCCCTGCCATAAGAGCCACTTGCCTAAGACAGCCTTGGTTTATACCTGTTTCATAACAGTTATTAATAGTGGCCCCATTCATTTGCAGAGGTATTGGGGTTTTTTCCCAATTTTTTTAATGTTTATTTATTTTTGAGAGAGAGACAGAGCCTGAGTTGGGGGAGGGGCAGAAAGAGAGGGAGACACAGAATCAAGAGCAGGCACCAGGCTCTGGGCTCGAACCCACAAACCATGAGATCATGACCTAAGCAGAAGTCGGACACTTAACTGACTGAGCCACCCAGGCGCCCTCAGAGCTATTATGGTTTAGATAATAATACAGTCCCCTGCCCATAATCCTTCCTGAGTTCTCTTCAGATTAACAGAGAGACTGGTATATTTCGTTGTAACTAATGCTAATAGTTTGGTTTGTTTTTATCCATCACTCTCTCTGGCCTGGCCCAATTTACACATTAGCTTTGGTTTTACAGTGACCAAACTATAATTTATTGGCATGGTTTGCTTAATTTATTCAACAGTTATCAACACTTTATCACACTTGCTGTACATCCTTTCTGCTGAAACATTTAAAGAAAATGACACTTTACCCCATTGTACTTCAGTAGCCATCTCTAAAAAAATAAGTTTCTAGTTTTTATGAACCTGTCCAGAAACCACAGGAACCTTTTGCAGTGTGAATCATCACTTCTGATATAATTTGGTTTTCATGTATCAGGTTCTCTTAAAGAGGGGTGTGCCTGCAATTGCATGCTAGTATGATGCTTCTCAAGTATGCAGGACACAGCCAGAGAGGGGTGCTGGCCACGTGGCCACATGTAACCTATGTTTCCTTTTCTTTCGGCAGTGCACGATCTGATTTTCTGGCGAGATGTGAAGAAGACTGGGTTTGTCTTTGGCACCACACTGATCATGCTGCTCTCCCTGGCAGCTTTCAGTGTCATCAGTGTGGTTTCTTACCTCATCCTGGCTCTTCTCTCTGTCACCATCAGCTTCAGGGTCTACAAGTCTGTCATCCAAGCTGTACAGAAATCAGAAGAGGGCCATCCATTCAAGTGAGTTGAAGTATCACAAGTAACACTGTAAACTTTAGGGAGGGGGTTTGCTGAGGCCGGTCAGGTCTGTAATTCAAACCTGACAGAGTCAAGAATTATAGGGCCTAATGCAGCTGATCACTTGCATGAACCATCACCTAAAAACCTGTCACTTAAAAAGTGGCCAAGAACTTTTTGACAAACTTACACTTTAAGGACAAAGAAGACAGTCTCAATTCCTGAGCAGGGTAGAGAGAGCAGGGCCTCCAGGACAGCACTCAGTTACATGGAGTCCCGAGGACATATTTAAGCTTCCGCGCAGCTAAATCTTAAAGCAACTTTGAAGTCTAGATGCTGAGCCTGCCCTCTAAGCGATACCAGAATTTGATGTGTTTGCTCTTAGTTTTGTTACTGATTTCCTTTTTAATTTTCCTTTAGTTTTCTTAATACCAGGAGCAGGTCTTGATGAGATCAGTAGGTCATGCATTTTTAGAATCCACTTGCTAGCTTTCCTCATTGTGCTGTGATTTTAACAAATGTTTTCCTCACACTTTTCCTTTTGAAAATCTTAGTCTGTGAACATTTTTAACATTTGCAAATAACGGTTTTTTTCAAAACCCCTCTCTTATAAGGAAAGAAACTCTTCTGTGACCTCTCAGGACTGTGACAGAATAGGTGTCTGGCTGCAGCTCTGGTCCTTTTATTTTCTCTTAGTGAAAATAGAACAGATAATTTAAATTGTATGTGGCATTAAAAAAGTTATTGCAAGTTAGTTTTAATAAATCAGTAGGTGTTCAGTGAGTGAATAAATTTTACTGTTTTGCCACAAGCTCAGCTGTCTTAGCAGGGTTTTCCTCTTTTGCATGACAGTGTCTTGGATTTTAAATGTGTATTGCTAAGTTGTATGAATTACAACATCCAGTTTTTGTTATTTTATGTTGGTTGTACATATTTTCCTGAATACAAAAAGTAAGCATGCCTGTTCCTTTTCTATTTTTCGAAGACTGTAGGCTCTTTAAGGCAAAAGCAGCCTTCTCTTTCCTGATGTGCCCAGCACATAGCATAGGGTCTGATACTCAGTAGGCACTCAGTAAGTACTGAGTGAATGAACAAGTTAGGAGCACATGGTTACGTATCAGTTCTGTAGTGCATCTGGAAATAGATGGAAACAAACCCAGGTCTTTCTGCCTTTTTCTTTAGTCGTTTACCCTAGTAAACTCAGTATCTGCACCTTCCTTTTTTTTAACAAATACTTTACAATGCCTCCTGTACCATTTTCAAGTGAGATTCATAGGTATCTACAAACAAAATTTCAAAAATAGACTATAATTATAATATAAAGGAATAAGATAAGCTATTTATAATAAAATAATATGTATCTAGTCAATATTAAACTGCTTGGACATGACTACACGCACAAAATAAATACAGACATCAGGAACTTGCAGTTAGATGTATAATCTCCAGTACAGAGGTAATTTTTCAAAATAGTAAAGCATCTCAGTAAAGTTTAGCATGAACAAAATTCAGTATTAAAAAATTCAGGATGTGTTAAAACTATGGGGAAAATACCTTGTTTTTATACGTTCTGGGCTTTTGATAATTATAAATGGGTTCACGCCTTCATGAATATCCTGTGAGGCAGTGAAAGTTATGCAGGACGTAGGACAACTCTTTATTGTGTAAGAACATCCGACACTTTGCAGACATCTGGCATCTCTGCCTCTGCCCACTGAAGGACAAAGGTGTCCTCTCCTCACCCCGTGACAGCAAAAAAATGCCCCTACAGATTTCCAGAATGCGCCCTTGGGGGGGTATCGCGCTCTAAAGAACTGCTCTCCTAACAGAAAGAGATCTTCTTTTTCTTGTCAAATGTATGACTGTTGTTTCTTCTTCTGGAAGAGCCTACCTGGATGTAGACATTACCCTGTCCTCAGAAGCTTTCCATAATTACGTGAACGCTGCCATGGTGCACATCAACAGGGCCCTGAAACTCATTATTCGTCTCTTTCTGGTGGAAGATTTGGTTGACTCCTTGAAGGTTAGTTGTTTCTACAGCTTTTGGTGGTGAGACTGAGGAGAACCAGGGACTAAATTATAATTCAGAAGAAAAACAGTAAATAGGGTTTCCTCACACACAAAAATAAATGTATGCTTCTTGTCTCCTGTATTTGGGACAGAAGTGAAATGGGGATAGGAGTCAAGAGGAAGGGTCTCCTGCACCTGAAGAACTTCAGAACAAGGAGAATGTAATGGGCAGAAATAAAGTTACAGTCTGAGCTTAAGAGAACTACAGAATTGTCTGATGCATCCTTCAAATGTATGGTGCAAATGAAGTAACCCTCATTTTGAAATTATTGATGGTATACATCACTGAATTTATGCAGACTTAATTGGCAAGACGAGAATGGCATCAGTTAACCAAAATTTTACATTATGATTATTCCTGCTTAACCCTCTGATGTTGGCTTTCCCAGCTGGCTGTCTTCATGTGGCTGATGACCTATGTTGGTGCCGTTTTCAATGGAATCACCCTTCTGATTCTTGGTAAGGTGACAAGGAAAATGTCTCCATGCTCTTGGAAGTACAGTTAGCCATTGAACAACACAGGTTTGAACTGCATGGATCATAACACTTATACGTAGAATTTTTGCAGTGCAGTATTATTTATAAATGTATTTTCTCTTAGGATTTTCTAACATTTAGTCTTGTCGTAAGAATACAGTGTAGAATACATACAGCATACAAAATATGTGTTAATTGACTGTGTTCTCAGTAATGCTTCTGGCCAACAGTAGGCTGTTAATAAAGTTGGGGGTGAGGGATCAGCGGTTGTTTGCAGATTTTCGACTGCACGGGGTATCAGTGCCCCTAATATCCACAGTGTCAGGGGTCATCTGTGATTGGTAAAAGTAGGAGCAAAGAGAATGCCCAGTGTGTCTCTACTCTTTGCACACGGCCCAGCCTTTAACATCCATAAACGTTGAACTGGATGTTGAAAGAACCTATGTTTGTGGCCACAGGTTTATTGAAAGATCCCAACTATAAAGAAGTATCAAAACAGAAGTAAAGGAGAGTTGTCTACATTTGGTTTAAATATGGGGATCTTATAAAAATCATTTTCGGGGCACCTGGCTGGTTCAGTTGGTTAAATGTCTGATTCTTGATTTCGGCTCAAGTCATGATCTCATGGTTCATGAGATCAAGCCCCGTGTCAGCACAAAGCCTACTTGGGATTCTTTCTCTCCCTCTCTTTCTCTGCCCCTCCCCCCTCTCAAAAATAAATATTTTTTAAGAAGAAATCATTTTCATAATTTGGAAATTATTTGTAATACAAAGAAGGCAGGCAGCCTGTGTACCTATAGCTAACTGTCCTTTTTTTTTTTTTTTTTAATTTTTTTTTTTTAAACGTTTTATTTATTTTTGAGACAAGGAGAGACAGAGCATGAACAGGGGAGGGTCAGAGAGAAGGAGACACAGAATCTGAAACAGGCTCCAGGCTCTGAGCTGTCAGCACAGAGCCCGATGCAGGGCTCGAACTCACGGACCGTGAGATCATGACCTGAGCCGAAGTCGGCCGCTTAACCGACTGAGCCACCCAGGCGCCCCTATAGCTAACTGTCCTTAATTGAGGGCTCTAGGTAGGATTTCTCATATTGAAGATTCAGGTTTCCCTGTATTTCCTGAGGAAAAACGGTGTGTATTACTTGAGTCTTGGGTCTTTTTGACTGCCTCACATTTATACCTGCCGTGTCCTGTGATTCTCTTACAGCTGAACTGCTCATTTTCAGTGTTCCAATTGTCTATGAGAAGTACAAGGTAAGCACGTATCTGTTTTGAATCGGATAAGCCTGTTGATTATGACTAGTTTCAGTTCACGTTTTAGGCATCGAAAGTTTGGAGCAACCATTTTCTGACCCATTTCTGCAGTCTGATTTTATAAGTCAGGAGCCTATATGAAATTGGTAATAGTGGTTTCCTATACCAAGAAAAACTGAATGTTGAGGAGAGAAAAGGGTAGGAAGGAGACTTATTTTTGTGCCTCGCTGTGTCTTTCAAGTTTTAATCAGGTGGATGCATTATCTGTGCAAAAAACTAAGTTGGAAGAAATGCTTAAGTAAATAAAAGCTGGTATCTAAAAAGAAATTTAAACTGTCAAGGCTATTATGGGAATCCCATCAGTGTGGAAAGATGTTTGCATTGTGGAATGCCGTGTGCAGAGCCTTGGTGGATGTGAGAAGGTTATTTTTTGTAGGTTGTCATCCATCAACAGACTTTATTTATGCCTTTTGGTATTAAATGAATTAGTCTTATGTGGGAGCCAAAACACGTTTGTGATTACAGAGTATAGATTAGACTGTTTCTAGTATTCAGAAAATGCTTTACTCCAGTGTCTCTAAAGGAAACACCTAGCAAGTAAGACCTTAGCAAAAGAAATGAGTGATTTTTACTTCCAACAGAGTATGAGGTGTTTGTGGCATAATTTAAATTCTGAAACCTTAAGTTTTTAAAATATATTTTTTTAAACGGGGCATTTTCATTTCGCAGAGTATGCATTACTATTTTTTTTTTTAATTATTAAACTGGACAACAGAACGTTGCCTTCAGGGAAATTGTTAATCTGTGTGTTGCCGTAACTGAGTCTCTTTCCTTCCTTAAAGACCCAGATTGATCACTATGTTGGCATCGCCCGCGATCAGACCAAGTCGATTGTTGAAAAGTAAGTATGCTTAAGTTCCACATTTTATTATGGCATGTGTGTTTTTCCCCAATTAATTTTAGCCTCCTCTGTAAAATACTGACTCAGAGAAAGTAATTTTCACCCTGAAGAAAAAATGTTGGTTAATAGTTTGATTTTATTAGAAATTATTTCATCTGCTTCCTTAAAAAAATATCCTTTGTGTCTTAGACTAAAAAGAATCAATGGAATTAGAACCTTTGCCTTTTTGAATTGGCCTTTAAATGTTTGTGGTTGCCAGCTCACGTGCATCTATTTTCACATGTATCAATTTTAAGCCAAACTCTTCCCTCTCTTTTCAGAAATAAGAGATTTACTAAAGAAATGACTCAAGGTGCAAAGCTACCTCTTTTCTAAAACTACCAAATCCCCGTTTTCTGTTTTCTTAAACCAATTTAATATTAAAATCAAGTTAGTAATAAAATACTGGTAGACATTTTTATGACTCCCTCTATCAAGGAACCATTTGGGGTTTTTTGGAGCTTTTTAAATGACTTACAGTAAACACTAAGGAACCCATACTTTTAATTAAAATATTAACATTTTTCCATATTCAGACATTTAAGAAACAAAACATCAAAAGCAGTTGTTTCTCTTTTGTGCTCTCCCCACCCCCAGTTCCAGTCCCTTTCATATCCCAGATTTTGGTGCTTTTTCTAGTTTCGATAAGTGGAAGCCGACTCTGCACACAACTTGGGCTTGATGCCAGGGTCTTTACTTGTTCCTTCGCTTTTTTAGGTATACATTGGAGCTAAAACCAGGCAAGGACAGTTAGCACAAATATGTATCTGGTTGCTGTTCACTCCTCATTGGGAAAGATGGTCATAGCTTAGCTTTTAAACCTGATGTCTTGGTTAGTCCCTGCTGGAGTGGCTTTGACATTGGTTGAGAGGTGTGTGAATGACCTTAGTGATGGGTAACCTTGATGCACAAAATAAAGGGTAGCTCTGGTGTCTGGTGAGGGGCTGGGAACCGTCGCCTGCTCCTGTCGTCTTTTTATATGTCACCTTGACCCTTGACTCTCGGTTCCTTTGGGGCACTAGTGGGTAACCTCGCATTCCCAGAGAAATGGGCTCTTGCACTGCCGGTGTGGAGAACATAGGAGGCATTATGCCCAGATACCCCTTATTCTCCTCTGGAACCCCCAGGGAAGGAGCCAGGAGGTGCAAGCGGTGAAAGAGGACAGGGAGCTGGCATGGTGGCAGGGAGAGGGGATAGATCTTTGTGGACCCCTCAGCTCGTCCCGGACCGGCCTCGGCCCCTGCCTCTTTTCATCCAGAGTAAGCCTGTTGGGAATGGGAGGGTAAGTTTCCACAGTGCTCCAGCAAGTTCAGGACTGACTTCCGGTATCACTGTTAAAGTAAAAACCTAGAACCAATGTCTGTCTTTTCACCTTCTTTTTTTTCTTTCTTCAATAGGATACAAGCAAAACTCCCAGGAATCGCAAAAAAAAAGGCAGAATAAGTACATGGAAACCAGAAATGCAACAGTTACTAAAACACCACTTAATAGTTATAACGTTATTACTTGTACTATGAAGGAACGTGCTCAATGTCAGCTCGAGCCTGCATTCCAAGCTTCTTTTTCTTAATTTGGTGTTTTCTCCCCTCCTTTCCCTTTACCCTCAGTATCAAGCACAAGAATTGTTGGACTTAAAAAAGAACTGATATCTTAGGACCCAAAAGAATAAAGAAAGAATCTAATAGGGTAAATCAGTACCTTAATGGTGGTGGGGCTTTTACTTGGAGCTTGAAAGGGGAGAGGTTGGAGGTCAAGGAGAAAATGAAAGATAAAGCACTGCTCTTGGATTCTGCTATCCAGTGTTCAAGGACTAGTCTTACGCAGCTTCCCGTCAGTTTTACCCTTATTTTTAAGTTAAGAAATGATGATTAACTTATGAGGAAATTATCCGGGGACAAGAGTGGGATTCCTTCCCACGGGTCTTTGGCAGCTCTCTGACCCCATCTTCCTGCCCCACAGTGTGAGCGGCTGCTCCTAACATTCCTCTTCTTCACGTAATGATAGAACTTTCAAGTCTATGAATAACTTGTAGGTGATAGTGTGCATTCCTGATTCCCAGAATGCCATCTGGTAACCAAGGTTGGAACCGGAAAGTGGGACTGTGAAGGCCCTCCCTCTCCCGCTCATCCCTAGAAAGGAAAGTTCCCGCCATTTGGGAGGGTGGTGTCTGTGTCGTTTCTTGTGGGCAACAGTTCTGAGCTTTAGTTTGAGAACTCATTCCTGAATGTGCTTTCCTCCTCCTTCCCTGCCCACCTCACCTCGAGTTTAATAAATATGGTTGTACTTTTCTTATTATGAAATAAATGTCTGTAACTGCTGTAAACTTGTTAGAGAAAAAAAATAATCTGCATGTGGGCTCCTCAGGTGTTGAGTTATTGTAATCCTGTCTCAGTCCATGGGGGGGAAACATTCTCAAGAGGTGAATACAGAAACAAAAGGCCTTTTTTGCTTTTGTCTTTTCTCTGCAGCTTCCTCCTTCCCATGCCACATCCTTACCCCGTGCTCGTCATCTTACCCTAAGCACCAAAGCCAAGCTGGCTTGAGAGGAGATTGTGTGTGTCTGTGGTGGAGAAGCCACAGGTTAGTGTAAGGAAGTGCATTCTGTGGTTCACAGGGAGCTTTGACTTTGAGGCTAGCTCACGGGTGTGTGTTACAGTTTGAGGCTCCTTCGGCTTCAGGCGCATGAAATGTCTTAGCGCCTCTGCCGTGGCCCAGGGTGCTCCTTCTGAGAGTGCTTTCCCCGAAGCGTTAGGTAAAGGCGACCAGGCAGGGCCAGCTTGTGTTGATGGACTCCGTGCACAATTGAAAGCTAACAGAACAACCCAGACCGACATCAGATGGAGGGCGATCAGGAATCTGATTCCTGTTGAGACCGATCAGTGTCTTTGTCCCCTTCCAACATGAAAATTCGGTCACCTTGAAAGAAAAGTCGTCTGAGCTCCTTCAGGTTGTAAACTCCTAGTCATGAGGGAATGTGCGCTGGTGACTTTAAAGTAAGGGCTATAGTGTTTGACGGTCCCAAAGCAGTGCAACTCTGTAGAAGGTAGTGGAAATTTTCTTTCTACTGTTTTGGAGAAGTTACTTCAGCATTTACATGGGTAAAAGGTACCCTTGCCTTACTCCATTTTCCTGTTTTCTTAGCCCTCTTTCCTTTTGAACTTTTAAGCTGATTTCATGTCGGAGTCAGAAACATATTCTCCATCCTATCTTATGCCCTCCCAGGAAGTCAGTGCACTGATCAACTTTTTGGGCTTCCCCTCCAAAGGACCCTCTTCTGCACTGGAAGCCTCCACACCTAGCTGTTTTGTTTTGTTACTGCTGTATTTAGGTAATTGGACAGACCTTTGTGCCACACAGGAGTTTTGTTTTGTTTTTTTTTTTCTTAAGAAAAACCCATAGGTGAAATATTACTAATGAAACTGTGTGTGCGTGTATGTGCGTGCAACATAAAAATACAGTAGCACCTAAGGAACTTGAATCTTGGTTCCTGTAAAACTGCAAATTGATGTGTTATTAATAAAAAAATTGAAAGGAAAAAAAAAACAGTGACTGCGGTGTCGTTCTGCTAACTTTATTCTTTATACACAGTTTGGGTAAAGTAAGAACCAGGCTTCCACCGGCCCCCATCCCCATTCCACTTTTGAGGCTTTAAAAAGCACCTACTGGTTGATACTGGTCATAGTTCCCAAGGTTGCAGAATTTCCATAGTAGAGCAAAGCTGTGCATTTGGTTTCTGAAAGATCACGGAGACCCTCTTAGAGGTGACCTTAGGAAGATGAGGAGTGGAAGGGGCCAGAGGGTCTGTTGTCCCAGTTCAGCCTCACACCAACCTAGGAGGGTTTCCCGTCTGCAACATGAAGCAGCCTATAAATCAGAGCCACAGTGTGCTTGAGTCACCATGGAAAGCGGGAACTACATACATTAGGTCTTTGCTGAAAGAACTGTTATCACTTCAGATTTTTTCTTCCCCCAAAACTAAGGCTGCCATGACCCTTAAGCTGGATTTTAAAAATTTATTCAACATACCTCTTAGAAAACTTAGGCTGAAATTTTTAAAAAATAACTGATGCAAACAACTTCACAAATACACATACAAATGTTCGAGTAATGTCACTAACATGGTATATAAATATGGATTCAGAGTAACATTTACATATTGGCCATAATAGCAAGCATACCATTAACAAAAACTTCATGAAGAAACTTCACCTGTTCATGTCAGACTTCCCAAGGCAAGGAGGAGGCACCTAGAGAGGAGGACCACCTAACCCCCCTGACCCCTAACCCAAGAGGCCATGGCCGCCGTCAAAGCAGGAATCACTACAGTGGCACTCCGGTCACTGGGGCTTAGATCTTCAGCTTCATGATCATTGGAGGGCTTATCAGAAAGGACTGCTGGGTGCCGCCCATTTCTGATTCATCAGGGTGGGGCCCAAGGATTTGCATTTCTAGTAGGTTCCTAAAGTGATGCTGAAGCTACCGGTCCCGTGGCCACACTTTGAGAACCCCTGGAGTGCTTGGGGCTGCCTCTCAATGAAGACTTTGACTCCTGTCTTCCTAAGGCCTCTCTCCCTGCCTATCAAGGGGAAAAGCCATTCCTAACCAGCTCTCTGTCCTGGCTGACCTGAACTTGGGCAGCGGGCTTGGGTGACCAGAATAGGTCACCCCACTGTTTCTGAACAGGCAGAGTAGTAAAAGTGGTAAAATACTCGTTCTGGATCTGAAAACAACATGCACGAAGGAAAATAAAAGAATGGCAGTGCCCAGCCTGGTGCCATCTGCAATCCCTGTTCTCAAGCTTTTAATACTGTCTCAAAAACCCTGGGAGTTTCAAACACACTGGGAATTCACTTTTCAGTCAACCGACAGCTCATGCAGGATTTCCTGAATCGCTGGTGGCATCTGCAACAAAACCCAGAGAATACCAGAGCCCTTGCCCTACTGGAGAGGTCGTGGGACAGGTGTTAGCCCCACTTGTGGGGTTCTGATGAAGACTGCCGCCCAAACCCCGGAGCTGAGGCCTGTGGTGGCCTGGAGACTGCTCATTCCCAGGAGGCGTGCAGTTCTTTGCCATCCCCAGGTCACGACTGCACTGAAACGGCCTGCAGCACCCAGCATGTGCCATCCTTTGGCAGGCCTAGTGGGAAAAGAAATTGTACGAATTTACAGAGACCGGGAGGCAGTGTGGTGTAGTGCAAACAACACTGAATTGGGAGTCGGGATTTCCATTCTAGTTCTATACTGTTCCTACCTGGCTGTGTGAGCATTTCAGTTTCTGTACTTCACTACCTTATCTGGGAAAGGGGTTAAGGGGGCAGGTACTGGTTGATCTCCAAGGTCTTTCCAGCTTTGACAATCTTGAATTATATAAAAATGCTATAAAATCCATGGTATAAAATCCAATTCCCAATCAGGAAGAGTCCAGGGGACTGGGCCTGAGGCACTTGAACCTTGGGCTCTGGCCTGGGGGTGCTGGGATGAGGAAGGGCTTCCTCTTTGCACTGGGCTTTCCCACCCACCCACCCACAGAGGCCGACCCTGGCCCCAAGTGCCAGGGCCCCTCCACCTCCAGACCCAACCCTCAAGTCCGCCCACTCACCTCCCCACTCTCAGGCTTTAAGACCAAAGGAA